TGTTGATAGCAATAGTTTGATTGCTATGTATAAAGAAATTGTTAATTTACAACCTAACTGGGAAGCTAGTCATTTTCACCTAGCCAAGTACTATGATAAAATGCTTAACACAGCTGAAGCTTTTGAATCGAAATCGTAAGTTAAGTAGCATTCATTTTTTATAATAAATTTTTCTTTCTTGTTTTTTTATCATATTTTTATTTTCTTTCAGAGATTTGATGATCAAAGTTGTTTATAATTTTGGCACCTCCCTGAAATATGGCTGCAAAAATGTTTACCATTCACTACCCAGATTGTTAGACATTTGGTTTGATCTAGGAACTTCACAGTTAGAAGAAGGCACATCTAAAAAGCAACATACTTCATTCAAAATTATGTCAGCTTGCCTAGAAAAAATAAGAAATTTGGTATTTTATTTAAAAATGACTTCTTAAAATGTTTTTAAAAAATTAAATGTCTTTAAGTTTTGAATTTCGTTTCACATTTCAGATACTAGAGTTTTTTGAAAGTATTCCTGATTATTTGTTCATGACCGCATTTCCGCAACTTGTCTCTCGAATTTGCCATTCTCACCCTGATGTAACTGGTCCATTGCAAGTAAGTTGCAAAATTATATGCATGATGTTAATTCTATCATGCTTTATGATAATTCAGTCTTGCAAATAACTTGTCTCTCGAGTTTAATTCCCATAAGATATAACTGATCCTCTACCTTTAAGTTGTTCAATTAATGTACGTAATTTTAATTCTGTTGTACTTAACAGTGCTGTTGTTTTAGCGGCATCGTACTTTCCCTAACTTGGTTCAATGCCAGATAAATTCCCCCTGTGGGGTTGTGTACTGGTGTTGTTATAGTTGTTAGTTCAATGCCATGTAATGGCATCAAATTATTATATTATTTTTATCTTTCTTTTTAGTATCATTTTTAGAATTAATATAAAGACTTCTGAACCTTTAAGGGTTAATGTTCATTTTATCTTACAAATATGCTATTTGTCCCTCTTGTTAGCCATTTCCATTCAGATGCAATTGATCCACTAATTATATATTAAATTATGCACATAACATTAAATCTGTTTTACTTTATGTTAATTCTATCTTATAAGTCTTATAAACAACTTGACTCACAAATTTGTCAATCCATCCTGATGAAACTTTTCCACTGCAAGTTGTAAAACATGCATAATGTCAATTATACCATACTTTATGCTAATTCTATCTCACGACTTGCACTCTTGCATTTAAATTTCTGCACAGATTTAACTTTCTCCCTGCTAGTAAATTTTTAAGTTGCTAATGTTAATTATATTATAAGTGTATCATTATCTGCAAATTTAATGTCTAAAAATTCAAAATTTTAAAATTCATTCTCCTTTAAAAAAGTATTATTAAAAAAATGTTAACACGTTGAACAAGTCATTATTATTTAAATCACCTTTTTAATTTTATTATTGTTGCAGTAGAATTACAGCTTATACTAAATGCATTTATATGTTTTTTTCCCTTTAGAGTTAAAACAGCTGCCTGCCTGTAATATTTTTTAATTATTCTGTTCTACTGCAAAAAGTTGGTATTTCTTAAAACTTATTAACTCAATACATTGCATGTCCATGTGTAATCAATGATTTAGTATGAATTAACCCAGTAAGTATTCTGTTTTAGAACTTTTGACATAGTTTCACATTTTCTACAGAGTAATTGCCTTTAATAATGTTTGATCTATTTGTCAACTTTTCACGTATTGCAATCTTAAATATGTTAATTATTTAAGAAAGACTTGATAATAACAGAAATTGGTTACAAAATGTTTAATTATAGGGGTGGGGTAAATAAATTTTTTTTCTCCATTATTACATCAGCAAACTATAATACATAAATATTTTATATGAATTTTGAAAATATAAGGAAAAATTTCATGTATAGCATCTTACTGGATTATTTTACTCTTAATTATTATAAAATATTAGATTTTTATACAAATGAAAAAAACTTTTTTAATGATATTGAGTTAAAGGCAATGTGTTTCTCTTAATAGAAATTGAT